AAAGGAGGAGTTATATCATGAGTCCATACACCCCCAGTCAGTGACCTGCAAACTCTGCAAGTGCCAGGAGACAGACTTCATATCTACATGCAAGGAGAAGTCTTACGGCACCTGAATACACTTCTAGATATGGGTTTAAAGCTTTTTTTCAACAGCTGGAGGACTTTGCCATGTAACTCAATTGATTCATTTAGTGATAACATGAATAATACCGGCTTTTTCAAGATAACTTTGTGAAAGCAATTCACGTGCAAGTGTTGACTCTGCATGGGATGCCTCAAGGAGAGCGGTGATGCTGCAATTCACATCAAGACATCTTTGCATCATTCTGAAAACTGAGGTGAAGGCTCAAACACACTCAATGGATCACTCTTAAGCTGTAAGCCTTCTAAAGAGGATACCCACTGCATTTTTAAAAGCAAATATTGTAGCTGATAAAAGTAGGTAGGTATTATTGACAGTGTACTGATAAAGACATCTTATTTTCAGAAATATGGATAGCTTTATTGAGGCCCTTGGGAGCAACTCTGAAGTTGGCAGTATCTTCTGCATGTGAAGAGCAAGAGCGTGCTAGGCCAAGGCCCTCCTGAGGGAGGGGAGGGAAGGAAGAGTGTTTAAGTGATGACAGAAGTGTTTCCTTAGAGTCCAATTTTGTTGTAGATGAACAGGCACAATAAGGCATACCCTTAACTCTTTGCTGTTTGGGCACCTTTTGAAGCTAAAAGTAGTGTGGTATACCCTAAGCACAGCCAAAACAGAATAGGTGAATGAGGGAGATGAGCACCTTGTTGAAAAGTCGCTTGGTTCCTTTTCTTCTTTTTCTGAATGAAACTCTCTCAACCAGTCTTTGTTCTTCCTTTCCCCCTTTCCCCAGCTCTAAGCCAAAAGCAGCAGCATCTAAATGAGCCTTTGCTTACCCTGCTCCTCTCAATCTTGGCACATCCTAATTTTAGAGTTCTGTGGACTTAACAGTATGCTGTCAGTCTTGCTGTTTTTACCCCTGAATGCTGGCTCTCCCCACGTATGCACCAGAGCGACTCTAAACAGCCTGTTGGGTTTCCCTGGGGCAGCGAGCTGGAGATGCCCGGGTGCTTGATAAGATGCTTGTGTGTTATGATACTGAGCAGCAGTGTAAAGCTTAACTTAGCTGGATAAATGCAGATTGATTCCAGTCTTTCGGCATCTTTCAGAGTAGCAGGAAAAAGAAGTAGTGGGAAGAAAGTCTGCCAGTGACTTGAGAGACCTATGGCTATAGGTTTTTCTGCTCCTAGAGCTGGAAGGAAAGGGAGAGAAGGGGAAAAATATGCTCAGTCACCTATGCCCTGTCACTCTGAAAATTGAGCGCATTTCACCCGCTTTTTAAAGTCATGCGCCTGGGGTGGGTGCACTTTGCACAAGGCTTAACACTTGCCCTGTGCCTTGCTTGAATTAAGCAATATGGCCTGGTGAAGCCGTGTCTCTCACCTTCGGAGCAGGCTGGCGGAGCTGCCTGGTCGGATTTGCTCCGTCCTTCTGTCTCATGCTGGGCTAATTTAGCCTCATCTTGGTAAACAAGAAAACGGTTCTCATTCAACAGACTTGAGCCGGAGTGACTGCAGCTGTCGTCTGGCCTGTGCGCAAACCAATTTTGTTCATTCCCTTGCCTGGCAGGAAGCCTGCACCAGAATTGTGTCGGCACTAATCAGCATTAAACCAATGTCAGGAGGGCTGCACAAAGCTGCCCCGTAGCAAGGCAAGAGCAACAAGGCTGTTCAGGAGGGATTAGCGTAAGTACTGCCCGGGATGCAGCTGTGCAAGAAAAGGCACAGAAACTGCACGAGTTTTTTTTTTTATTATTATTATTTTCCAGGACTTTTTGCTGTGAAAGCCCCTAAGCACTGCAAAAGAGAGGCTTCATAGGGAGTGTCACACTAAGAAACTGGTGTGGTTTGCTGTACATGGCCATAAGTACGAAAGTGAGAGAAGGTGCAAAATCCCTGAATGTATAACCCTGTGTGGTTTTATCAGGGACATCCAGATGGTGCTTCTGAGCATGCTCTGCTCTATTCTCCTGGAGAAGCTAGGCAGAGGGGCATAAGTGCAGTGTGTGGTCTCTGGTCAGAAGATGATGCTTGGTCTTGTATGCTGTACAACAACAGTTTTGTTAGTAAGACTGAGAGTTCAGAATATTTCTGGTGGAAGATTTGAGGCTCTGAAAAGGGTGTTTTACAGTTTTAATTGCTTAAAAGCTTTGTTTTCTTGCCTGGTGTTTACATTGCAGGTTCATGAGTGTGTTCTGTTTGGTATTAAAAGCATTAAATAAGAAAGATCCCAGCTTCTGTATTTTTATTCTGGAGATCTAGAAATGTCAAGGCCTTACTCTGCTCTCCACCTCTTAATAGCTATTGAATTATCCTTGCAGTTCTTCCTTCTGAAAGTGATTTCTGTTTCTCTCAGTCCAGAGCACCATGGCTTTACTTTGAAGTCACCCTTGCTTTTCTGGAGAGCTTGGACCAGATGATTTGCAGAGGTCCTTTCAGACTTCACTGATGCCCTGGACCATGGTCACCTGGCATAGTTGCCTTTGAGCATATCTAGAAGCTCATAGATGCACGCTTTTGCTAATGCTATGCCTAAAATTCTGTAACTTCACCTCAAAATCTCTTAGGGCTCTGTCCACTTTTGTGGTAAATGAGTGTTAGGCATCCTCCTGGCTGTGACTAAGAACCACATAAAGCTGATATGTTCTTGTACTGCCCAAAGTGGGCACAGCTATGCTGTAGCTGCCTTCCAGCCCTCTTAAACTACTAGGTAACTGTGTGTGTGTGTAGTGTTATACTTATGTCAAAACTGTTTTCAAGTGCAAAGCTAAGCATGTGTGAACTTTTGAACCTAGGCCCTGCCAAATGTTCATGGTGTTGTCACGGGTGGAGAAGCTCATTTAGAGAGAGCAGGCAGACCTTCTGATCTAAGATGCCCCAATTAGTTATGACACAACTTAAGCAATCCTCCTTCCTAGGGAAAAATCATCATCAGCAAACCCGTCTTGGGTAAGAGTTTGGAGAGACAGGAGTGGAGGAGCTTTCTGAGCGCTGTCATCCAAAGGAAAATCCTGCAGGCCTTGGAGAAGAAGCCCATGAATTGCACGGTCTTCCCCTTAGTCATATGTGGGCTAGCACGGATAGGATCTTGGGAATATCCATGCCTTGTGTTTCTTTTGGGCACAAGCGTGTGCATGTGAGGTAGTGCTGTGTTACCAAAGCTTGTTTAAAGCCCAAGCTCTCCGTGGAGGTCTCTAGGGTGGCATCTGACACAGCAGTGCCTGCTGCCAACTGAACTTTCTGAAGCACAACTTTCCTAAAGGGAGGTGAAGTGGGATGGAAGATACTCTTCATCAAGTGTGAAAGAGGAAAACCTCACATTTTGAAGAGTTCTGTATCTGCTGAGCACTCAGAAATGACCAGCCTTTCTCAGGAGCCTGTGATAGGGTCCCTCAGGTGGTTGCTGAGATGTTGGGTCCCAGCTACGAATAGGTGGCAAGTAGGAACTTCTCGAGCGCTGATACCTCTGCTTTCTTTGCCAGGTGGTTGGTCACGGTTGGGCGCTGGCCTGCTCGGGGGTGCGGGCCTGCTGCCTCCTGGCCTCCCTTCTTCATTTCCTGGTCATCTTCTAGCAACGTATTAGCCATATTCGAGCTAATAATGTTTCGTGTTTCCCTTCTGACAAAAGTGATGGGAAATAGCAGTCTTTCAGGGAGGGCCGCTAAGAGAAGCTAGATTTGTTGTAATCTGACCCCCCACAAGTCTTTACAACTAAACAAATTATAAATAAGTTTTTCAGAGCCTCTCTTTGGGCCTACAGATCTCCACAAATGAGTTATCTGGATGGAGCGTGCTCAGCCATACGCAGCGGCCTGCTCTGCTGACGGCCGGTAGCTCCCACGTGCTTGCCCTGAGGCGGGCAGCTCTTGTCGGTTCTGCTGCGGGCAAGCCCTGGCTCTCTTTAATTTGGGACTTTTGACAAGTTTGAGGCCCCTTCCTGTGGGAGTGCAGATGGCAGCTAAATGGCTGCTGGAGCCGTTTCCCTCCTACTTGCTGGTGACAAACCAGCTTCTTGGAGAAGGCAGCAAGTCTGTCTCTGCAGTGTGTTTCGACAGATCCTCTGCTCCTAACAAATGTGGAAAAGATTCAATGTGCCCTGTGACTTCTAGTGCCGCGGTCTGAGGTTTTAGCTGCTTCCTTGTGCTGTTCTGCTTGAAGGTTGTGGCCAGGGCTCCTCTCCTGTCCCAGTTCACTGCTTTCTCAGTTTCTAATGCTGTTCAAGAGCTGGCACATCTCATGCTAGGCAAATCCCTTCTTGGGTTTGTGGGTTTTCTGTTTTTCGCTCTTTGCCTTGTGCGAAACTCCAAATGTCATGATTATCAAAGGGGTATTTTTCTTTTTTGCATTTGGTGACCTTTTGAAGTTGTGAGGAGGAAACAAGCAGCACTTTTAAGAGCGCAGAAGTTTGCCTGTATATGCTAGAAAGTAATGTTTATCTCCTAGAGTTAAGGCTGTGAAGAAAATGCTAGATAAATTGCGACTGGAGTCCTCCTGAGGCTGTCTGCATGAAGCCCTGGTTGGAGATCCCTTTGTCACGAGTGTGAAAGGGATCACCCAGAGGTGACTTACAAAATAGTCCTGGGGACTGGCCTGCAGTGCATGGCTACCCCCTCTGTCTCAAGGTATGGAGAACTGGATCAGGAAACTAACCCAGCCAGGGTGTGGAAAACATGTTTTACTCCCTGTCCTTGGTCCTCCTATTGCTCCCCCAGATACCCTTCAGCTGGGCGAGTTCACCAGGGCAGCTCTCCGTTAGAACCACCTGAGCTGGCAAAATGAGAGGCTTGGTGTGGGGATGAGAATGAGAAGAAGAGCTGGGAGCTTCTTGTGTTGCCTGAGTCATTGTTGATCAGCAGTGACTGAGTAAAACCTGGGACGTGTGTGCGGCTGAGGCAGTGTGTACTTGCTTGAAGTTGTACAATGCTAGGAGGTAAGTCATTGCAGAGTTCCCTTGGTAGCCCCTGAGGTTAAAGTTGGAGAGGAATTTGTGCAATTTCCTCTGCCTTATTTTTTTCCCCTCTGCTAATTACAGGTGTAGGCTATTCTTAGAAGGCACCATAACAGTAAGACACTGTTGGGTGTCTTAGCAGTAGCTTTGGGTTGTTTTGTGACTGGAAGACACTTGTTACTGAACTAGGACTGCATAGGGTACAATCTTTCTCCAAAGACATGATTTCTAAAATATTAGGTAAAAGGAAGATGAAGGAAACAGGAGAAATGGCTTCCTTTCAGGACAGGGCATGTATTGAAATGGGTGTTTTTGCTTCTACAGGTTGATGCAAGGTTGTGATTACAGGTGTTTTCAAAGCAAAAACTGAAGAGGCTTACGAAGCATGAGTGATTTTTAGACCATGTTGATTCCACGGGTTCTCAGACGTGCCCTGACGGTTGAGAGGCATGGAGCAATTATATCATTTGCCTAAGGAAGCGCAGATCTGAATCACAGAGTCAGCCTGGGCAGCCTTTGCAGGGGGTAAGCGTGGCTGGGCAACCATGCTTGGATCCAAACTGCAGCAGGAGCCGTGCCCACCTGCACAGGGCTTGGCTTCCGCTGCCATCATGTTGGCTGTTCCAGTTCTGTCACTGCACATGGTGGGAAAACCCGCCTTTTTAGGCATGGAAGAAGCAGTGAGACCTGTGGGAAGCTGACATAGGACAGTGCAGTAGGATTTTTTTTTTCTTTTTCCAAGGGCATCCACCACGCTCCCTGCAAAGCTGAAGGTGTTGCCAGCCCGGATGAAACCGCATTCAGCGCTACCCTGCAGCCCGATGCGCAGGGCTGTGGGAGAGGCAGGCAGATGTGGTTTATCCACCTGGATAAACGTGCCCGGGACGGCCGGCTCGGAGCTGAGCAGCGCACGGCAGCGGGATGCTCCCTAATCCCTGGGGAGGGGTTAACCGGCCGCAGCAGACCTGCGGCGGTGTTAATGCTGCAGCTTACTTAAAGTAACTGGTTGCTCAGGCTGTCGATCTGCCGATGGCACAAAATGCAGATTTGGATTGAAGTTCCGTGGATATTAGCGTAAATCATATTCAGGCTGTCATATTGGTTTGGAAACAGAATGAGCCTTGCTGAAATCAAAGCCCAGGCTGGGATCCTCCATTAACAAACTGCCTTTTTTTTTTTTTCAGGGGCAGAAGAGTATTTTTGGAGCTTGGTTAGTTTTGTCGAAAAATAAGCTGAGTTGGAAGTATGAGTATTTCTCTAATTCTGTCATGACTGTTGAATTTGTCCCTGTGAGAGCTACTTAAGTGCTCAGACTCCTTTAGTCTGGTGTACATACGTGCCTCTTTTTTTAAGGAGGGTATGTATTGCCCACACATATTGCCTATTTCTGTGAAGACTTTGAGACTAGCCCCGTTGGACTGCTACAGCATCTGTGCGTGAAGCCTTTGAAATATTCTTTGTAGTCCATGGTAATCTAACATCAGTTGTCACCTTACAGTCCTTTTTCAGTAAGGTATTCTTTCAGTGAAGTAATAAAACTGGAGGTTTTATTACATATATACATGTATAATATACAGTAATACTTGTGCTCAGCTACATTTAACTTAACTTATTGGTAAGTAGGCTCACAGCTGCATAATTGCCAAGATTTGCATTATTTGCTGTCACAAGCATGGATAGTTTGAGTTTTTGCTAATTCCTACATAAGTATCCAAAAAAAAAAAAAAAGGTGAATTTGTTTCCTTAAGGTAAATATTTAATCCAGTGTGCCCAAACCTGTGAGCTTTGCATTGGGGGGTATCCTCCAGGGACTTTCCTGGTGTATTGGTGTGTTAGGTGATAAATCACCAAAAACTTGTCAAGGCCCGAAGAGAGGCGGCAGGGCTTGCGTGGCTTTCATCTCACATGTGCGTGTGCTGTTTGATTTGAAGTGGGAATCCTAATCCCAGGGGAGCGCTGCCGCGGCCTCGTGAGGAATTACGTGTCCAGGATTTCGGAGCATCTCTGCTGTTGCTTGGACAGTTTGGCTGGACGGGAAGAAGCAGGGACCCTGGGCGCTACAGCACGGTCAGCTGTGCTGCAGTCTGACTAATCCAGCCTTGATCTTCTCACTGTGAAATATTTAGCTTTTAATTTATGCTGGAACAGTTATTCAGCTCTCCAAAGCAGCACAGCATGACTTGCTCTATTGTATGAGGCGTTCCATTTAATTCTGCAAAATTCCCCTTTATGAGAGAGACATGTAAAAATATTATAACTGCCATTACTTTTGCATGAGATGTTTGTGCCAGGGCCAGGAGGGCTGTTATAGATGCTTTGTTTTCGAATTAGCCTCTCTGTAGTCGGTGACAACTCGCACTTATTTAAAAATGAGAGCAGCAATTACGTACCTTCTACCTGTGTATTTTAGTGTGCCAGTCAACCTGGGATCCAGGCACTAAAAGGTTAGTAGTAAAAGAGGAAACATTTGCTTAAATGACATGTAATTTTAGGGCTGTTTAGAACTCCATTTGTTCTGCTCCCATCTTTACAAGCACTAAAATAACAGGCAAAATACACAGTTCCCAATGAAGATCCAGCTTCTTTACAAAGAAGCTTTGGCACCTAGTTCTCCCCAGAGCACTAAGGGAAGCCAGAGGAGCTGGTTTTCGGCTCCCCTTTATAGGGCTGTGAACTAAATTAGAGGCATGGTAGAAACGTTGTTGTGCTCAGAATTTTCCATCTGGAGCACAGTTTGGATCCAGAAATGAAAGTAGCAGTATGGGTCCCTGCCTTTGGATTTGAATCCTGACACTTTGTTGTGGTATGGTGACTCAAGCCTACTTTAAGCCTCCTGTATTTTCACTAGATTTGGCCTCTGGCCACCAGTCAGCAGTTACAAAGCATAAATGGGATTGCTTGCGCTTTGTTGGAAATACGTAGAGTTCTGCTGCAGTGTGAAGGGCTATATCTAGTCTGGTTTACTTAAGGCATAGGGAATATTTTTCATGCGCCTTAGGTGTGCAATTACTGTGTGCTCTTAGCTTTTCAGCAACCACTGGTGCAAATTCACTGGCATCAAGCTCATCTTCAAGTAGTTTCTTAATGCGAGTGGTTTTGGCCAGTACATGCAGGTTGCTGCAGAGCTGCTGGTGGCAGAAGCAGTATTTTTAACTGCAGAGTTACAAGAACTGGTCTTCCTTTCAGTGTGATGATACTTATTCTTCTGAACATAGCGTTTTAATACAGCGACATAACATAGCGACTCTACTGCCGTCCTCTTTGAGAACTGAGAAGAAATGTCCCATATAGCACGTTATAATCCTTCGGTAAAGGGCGTGAAAAAACATAACTCGGTACAGTACAAAGTTTATTCTACATCTGTCCTCTCTATAGCTGTCTGTGTGGCCCTGCTGATGGGATCTGGTGTCCAGAGGGCTCTGCAAGGAGCGCGGAGAAGCCATCGCTGCTGCGGGTGGATGGGGGTTTTGCTGTCTGGAAAAAACTGCTTTTTCAGAAACTGGGGAGAGCTTCCCTTTCATCACCAGCGTCTGTGTATCTGGAGAGTGCTAATGTATGTAAAACAGAGCATTTTGCAAGCTGGGACCACTAAAAACAAAAAGGTCCTTTGGCTCTTCTTTGTGACTGAGCACATCAAGGGCCAGCTCTTTGATCAGAGACACAAATCACATCAGAAAACAGGGGCTCCCTTTAAAATGGAAATAGGTATTGCTCAGTGTAACAGTGCTAAGATCTCAAGCATGTGTGAGATGAGTATAAAAAAAAAAAAAAAAAAAAAAAAGCCCCCCCTCAAAGCAAAACCCAAACCCAGGCAAATTTGACTACTTCAGCGGTAGGATGGGCATCTCTGTGCTCTGCTTCTGTCAACGTTGATTAGTACTGAAAAAGATCCCGGACAAATTAAGCTTCTTTCTTTTCTTGTACTGGTTTGCCAGCCACTCTTAAATACAGCAGCAGAAGGTGTTACCCGTGAGGTTGTTCTCGCCCTGCTGTTGTATCAGTGCAGCTCTGGGGAGCTGCTGTGAGCCTCCAGTGATAAACACCCGAAATTGCCCTCCTGATGAGTAAGGGGAGGGTCAAGTATCAGGACGTGATGTGGAGTGGAGTGGCTTAAAAAAATCCCTCTGAATACAGCCCAACTTAAAGGTTATCTGAACATACTGTAGCTTAAAAAAAAAAAAATCTTTCACTAAAAAAGCCCCAAAGCAAAATTTACTGGAAAGTTCCCCTTTTCTTCCCACATTCTGGTACACAAACCTAACCAGTAATGGCATGGGGATTTTAGGATGACAAGATGTTTCTTTTTTTCTCCCCTGTTCTCATCACCAAAAATATCAACTGTAATAAAGCAGATTAAGACAACTCTTTCTTGATACCTGTGCCCTGGTGGAATAGAGAACAAAATTTGTCTCAAGATTTTCATAATTATATGCTCAGAGCCAGCCTTAGCTTGGACATTTAGGCTTATGAGCTGGGGAAGGGTCTCAAGTTTTAGCTTGTCCTTGCTAAGATCCATGTGTGTATGAGTTAAAAGGGATACAGGAGGGGTTACATTTTCAGAGCTCAGGACACATTTTTCATTCACATGAGTGCCATCATTAATGGTATTTTAGGAACTTAGAGGTGGATTTGAAACCCTTTGCTTTCATATGGTTGCATACCTTATGCACTTGCTATGTAAGTTCTCTAAGCAATAGGTTAACAGGCTGTTTAAAAACAATGAAACTTAAATTAACTTGTTGCTCCAATTGTTTTCTTGATTGGTGCAAATTCTTATTCATTCTATACAAGTATCCAGAGCAGAGTATGGAAGTATACATATGGAAATGAACGTTGCCCTTACTTGATACAGAGCAGGCCACAGGTCTCGGGGACATGCTCTCCATATGATGCAAGCACTGGAGCAGCAGTGTGTGCTTGGAAAACCAGCCTGGCGGTGGGAAAGTCATGAGTGAATTCCATGAATCTTCATTTCTAGAGGAAAATAAAGGCCTGAAACATAAATGACAACTTTCTTCCCTGTATTCGTAAATATAATTTCAGTCTTACACCTGTATCACATTTTTCTGCTAAGCAGTATCACAATTTTCTGCTAATCAGTTCAAGCCTTTGAGTCAGATGCCAAAGTATACGAATGCTGAGCCTCTTTACCTGTTTAATAACATCTCCCCTGTTCTTCCCCCCCAAAACATAACTCGAGCCATCACTATTTCTTTGAATATGTGAGTGACCAGATTGCGGTGCGGTTCTGCACGAAGCAGCCCGCGCCGCTCGTGCTGGCTTTCCCATGTAGCGGGATGTCTTTATGGATCCGTCGGCGTCTGGGAGCGCTGCTATTTTAAGAAGCTGACAGCGCTGGTACTGGATAATGTTACTCGGTGGGCAGATAGTTGGTATTTTAATCAAGGTCATTGAAGGAAGGGATGATGGCAAAGTTGCTTGTGTTGTTGCTGTTTTCTGATCATTTGGGCTTATGCAGCGACTCTTAGACAATCAATGTCCCTTTTAAAAAGACTCCTGAAATAATAAGGTTTTTTTTTTTTAGTTTGGTTATTTTGTGACAACAGCTGTTGCGTTTACCTACAGGGTCTGTATATCAAGGACTAGATTGGACAGTGCTCTTTGTAGCCCTGCACTTAGACCTTGGTTGTTAATGAGCACCTGCCCTTTGGCTTCTTGTGCAGGGATTTCCATCACTTCTGCGGCTCCTTAGCCGTGTGGTTCATGTTTGCAGCCAAAATACTGGAGGGGGTGGCAAACCCAAGAGCCTGCCCTGGCGTGTCTGCTGTCCAAGCTGTTAAATCTCTGCTGCTCACCGCTTGCTCCTCCTGCAGAGGTGCTGCCCCTGGGCCTTAATTCTCTTTAAATAGCAACCCTGAGAGTGATTTTTGGGGAGAGCTGTGGTAGCAGCGCATCAGAGAGGCTGGTAAAGGCGCTGTGGTTATCTGGCGCTCGCTCACCGGCTTTGGCTACCAGCTTGTAAGCAAAAGGGTTGGGAATCCTGACTGCGGCCGAAACCGAGACACGGCTCTGTGTCAAGAGTTAGAGCAGCTTTTTCTGAGAGCCTAAACAAACGCTCTGGCAATCTGTTCCTGCAACAGCTGTAGGCAACGGCTTGTTTTGTTCCCTGCGCATTAATATTTATGCAACTTTTACGTTCAGACAACTCAAAAAAATGGAATAGAATGGGCTGACACCTGGAGCAGAATTCATCATGCTGCAGAGTTGAATGCGAGTTGTTTTCAGATGCCTCCCCAAAGGAGCAGGAAAATTAATCTCCCAAAGCACAAATGATAATCTAAAAACCTTTATTGCAAGTATTTTTCTGTGTCTTCTGCAGAGGACTGCTTTTCCAGAAATTATGGGCTTGGCAGAGTTCTCTGGTGCCTTGATTAGAACAGCTGAGATACAAGGGTAGTAGTAGAAACCTGTTGTGAATTTATATCCAGAAACTGAATGACCAGAGAGGTCTGTGATATTACAGCCTTAATATATGCTTCAGGTTTGTAAAATAATTTTAACCTAAAGATTTTTATTTTTAATCTGTGTTACGGTGTCTTTGAAAACACTTGCGTTTTTCTGCAGGAATTGGGGTAGCTGTTACGGGAAGACTGCTCATCCAAGTTATAAACATAGATCTTATCTATTTGAGTCTTTGTCGAGAAACACATCACCACTTACAACACATCTCTTATGAGACACAAATGATGAACGTAGCTATTAGGTGACTTGAAAAAACTTGTGAAAATGGCAACCAATACAGTACTGAAATGGATAACTATGATACTAAAGAAAACCTCCAAGTTTTAGTTTGACGTTGTTGGGGTTTCCTTTGGTTTGTTTGTTTCCTTTTTTTTTTTTTTTCCTTGAGTTTCATGGGCTCTGGAATGGCTTAAGCATGAAGCAAGCTGTCTTTGGCAACAGGGAGACTCTGTGACAGCGTGCTGTTTGAAGTACTTAGAATGTAATCTTGTTACTAATTCTGACAGGTATTTCCACAATATCTGTCAGTGTCTTTAACGGCTTTATACTAATATAGTCACTGAAGTTTTTCTTTATCGCATGAATTTACCCATGGCCAGCGGTGGGGGGGAAGAGATGTCTCAAAGGGGAGTGTGTATGTTTGATGTTTTTTCCCCTCCCGCAGTACACTTGTGTATTTTTCATTTTGTTCATACTTGCTTTTTTTTTTTTTTATCTCTCGTTATGTTGTGTAGTCTTGTACAAATGGCTAGAAGCAGATCTCCATGGCAAGAGCTCAGATGCTGCAGACAGAGCCGCAGGTAAACAGGGGTGCTGAGGTCAAAACAAATCACCACATCCTCTGTGTGTCTCTGTTTTCCGATCTCCAGTTTCCCTTGAATCAAATTATGGGTCAGATTTGAAAACTGCACCTTTTCATTCTTTAAATCAATATCTGGTAAATTTTACTCTTCTTGCTGAAGCTCTCTTGGCCAATGTGTTTCCCCTCCCCAAAGAAATGCCTCTAACAGTGCTGAATATATGGATGGGTATGTAATATACTGCATCTTGCATGTGCTTAATAGGCCAAAAGACATCTTGTGTGAGGTTTTTTTAGAGGATACTTATTACACTCAGGCATAGTTAGGTAGATTCGTAGGCAGAGGATACTAGTGGGTCCATCTCCACCCGTTCCTGCTAGAAGCTCAGTGACACTCTGCTCCTGAGGCCTAAAGGAAGGCTACAAATAATATTAGTGAGTTCTGCACACACACAAATAAAAAGGCAAAACAGAACAGATCTATTGATAGGGCAGGCTGATCCATCAAAATCGTTAAGCAGTGAAATGCAAGGGTTTCAGTAGGAAGTTTAGACATTGCCCACCCGTTCTGGCCTCTGCTCCCAGATCTCCCATGCAAAAAGGACTAGTGGGTCCATCTCCACCCGTTCCTGCTAGAAACTCAGTGACACACTGCTCCTGAGGCCTAAAGGAAGTATGTTTTAAATTTAGGCTACAAATAATATTAGTGAGTTCTGCACACACACAAATAAAAAGGCAAAACAGAACAGATCTATTGATAGGGCAGGCTGATCCATCAAAATCGTTAAGCAGTGAAATGCAAGGGTTTCAGTAGGAAGTTTAGACATTGCCCACCCGTTCTGGCCTCTGCTCCCAGATCTCCCATGCAAAAAGGAGAGAAAAAAAAAAAAAAAAAGACTCTTACAGACCAAGGTTTCCTACTGAAATGACTCCAATCATAAAATTTTGAAAAGAAAACTGTTCTGTCTGCCTCGTCCTTGTGCCCCCCTTCATTCGCTTCCCTGCTCCCCGTAAGGTTATGGGAGCGCGCGGTAGGAAATCATCCTGCCTTAGCGTGAGCTCCTCGGGCAGGGCCTAGCGCGGCCTCTGAGGCGCAGAGGAGAAGCAGCAGCGCCCGCTCCCGGCCCCGCTCGGAGGCCTCGGCGCCTGGGCCCGGCGAGGAGCGGCCTAGCTGCTCTCCGACCACAGTTATTTCCCCTGTTCCCATGGCGTTTTCTCACTTCCAGGTTGCATCCCGCTCGCCGTTCCTCTTGGCAGGGTCGTGCCGATACCCAAGGAAGCGGTCAGCGACGGGACAGCATAGCTGGATGTGCCGCATGTTTTTAATTAGAAATGGCTATCAAAGAGGCTGTCAGCATGATGTACAGTGCGGGGCATATTCATGTTCGCAGTAGGTTCCTCTAAAGGAATAAAAGATATTTTTAATCCTGTGGTCACAAGCATTCCTGTCGCGTTCCAGGCCTCTGGAAGGGCCTACAGATAATTCACATTCCCTGGACCAGAGGGTGTGGGGAAAGGATGCCTTTGCCTATTTAGTACATATTTTCATCTGCCTCTGGAGTTGTGATAATTTAAGTATCCCTGCCTAAATTGTAAAATTTCTAAATTTGTGAATGTGATTGCTTACATGAAAGCAGTCACGACTGATGATCTCGCAACTCCAGCTGCGTTTCCCAAGGAGTGTTAGCCTTTACCCAGAATAGAAAAAGATGCTTATTTTCCAGTTTTGAGAGTCTCTTTCTCCTTTGAAATGTAATTAGCACAGTTTTGCTTGATCTATCATCCATTATTTCAACATTTGGTTCAAAATAGGAATTAAATTGCCCTCTAAAAATGAGTGCCTTTAGGGGAAGATGCAAGTTGTTCAAAAGTATCATTATATAGGATGTGTCCAATTGAAATGAAATTTAAATATGACACACTTTTTTAAAAAATACTTGCATAATTTTTTTCAAATATTTCGAAAGTTAAAGAAGTCTATTCAAAATTAAATTTTTAATTTGCTTCTGAGTGGCAGCTTATCCTATGAGATATGCTGTTTACATGAATGGGTATTGTGCATCAGATATGATGTTACCGTCTGTATTAATAGTGCTGTTATCAGGCCATTAATATTTTAGAACATTGGCTCAATTCACATTTGATACTTGCTTCATTTTTAATGAGCTTCGCTAATTCTACCTTGCAAGTCAGCAAGGCAAGCGCTTAAAAGCGCGTAGCAGGTTCACCCAAAATTCCCTGTTTGCCTAAAATGCGGGCTAAAATCAACGTTACTGATCCCCTGTGGGCCGGCAGGTCGTGGCGGCGGGTGATAAGGCGACGCACCCCGCCAGCGCGCGTGCCCGTGCCCGTGTTTGCCAAGAAGGTTTTCCTGATGTGGGGCTCTCTCCCAGCTGCGTGTCAGGGGGGAGCTGGGGGCACGTGTCCAGTCTCTCATCTCATGGCAGTGGCACTTGTGGCACTTTCTGGTAGTTTGGCTACCACCCTGACACGCAGGCTGCCTCCTGTTACTTCTTTATGCTGTTTCTTATCTAATTTGGGCAACTTCTTTGAAAGTTTACCATGATACCTGGCTTGCTGGAGCAACGCTGTATGTGGGGTGCAATGCTCTCTCCTTTCACACTAATCGCTGACTGATTAACTCCAGTGTGGCTTCTTGGTTCTCCTCTTTTGTCCTGTGATTCTTTGTTGAGAAAATTATATTTTGTGTGTGTGGTTTTTCCCTTCCCTCCCCACTCCAAGACTCTGTAGTAAAACAAAATGCAAACCCTGCAGAGACCCTGCAAAGGTAAGCCATTTGTGCCACTTACTTTCCTGGATCGTATGAGCTCCGTGTTGTCACTTTGTTAGGACACTTGCTGCTGGCTTTGGAAAAGTCAGATTACTTAAAGCCATGTTTCTTTCACAAACTATGCTTTTTAGGTATTTCTGACATCTGTATGACTGTACAGGTATTTGTGGTAGCATACAAATTATTAATCATGTCCAAAGGCTGAATAAAACTCTTTTTTTTTTTCCTGGTTAACATGCCTTGTTGGCAAATACGCCACGTGTTTTTGTGCTAGAAGTTTTGTCTGTCAGACTGGTCATTATTAGGTAAAAGGAGACGAAGACAGTCCAAAAAGGAGAAAAAAAAATCAAATATCCCTGGTGATGTGTAGCACTAAGTCTAAACTGGAAGCAGAAATGGAAGGTGCAGCTGAATGTGGTGGGGTTAGGAAGAGGGCCTCCTGCTTCCTATAAAGAAACGCGGCAGGACTGATCCACAACCCCCCCAGCTCCATGGGTGCTGCAGCCCCCCATTCATTCCTTTTACCTGGGAGCTGCTTTGCAGGCCTTGGACACGAGGTGCTTTGGGGACGTGGTGCTCGGAGCAGGTGCGGACACGTACCAGCAGGTAGTTAGCGTCACACGGAGCCTCCAGGTGAGCACCTCTCCGTGCCACTGCTTCCAGCAAAGCAGACTTGAAGGGGCAAAGGCAGCGCTGGCAGCCACGAAGAAACGTCACATGCAGCCTTCCACGCTGTAGTGGCAGGATGCTTTTCAGTTACTAGTACATTTTCTAAAGAGAAGTTACAGATTAGAGGTTCTGCTAGATGGACAGAGCGTCCAGCTGTCACTCCCTATGGCAGTCAGAGAGGAAGCATTGAGGTTTATGTATATGTGGTTTTTTTTCCCCCATTTGTCCAATCCACTCTAAGCTAAGGAAGTCCTCTAGATACTCTTTGAAGCTGCAGGAGAAGCAACCAGACACATTTACCATCAAGTATCTGCATTTTTGCTAATTCACAGTTCTAAAGTAAAGGTATGTGAAGAGGGTTGAAGATCCAATTAAGAAATAGCATCATGCCTATTTACTTGATTATGCAAGCACACTAATTGCTGTTTAATGCTAAGAATTAAGAATGCTGCCAAGTAGGTTTACGTGCCTGCCCGGAGAGAGCGTTGCTGCTGGCTTTGCTTGGTGAGATTTTTATCTTGCAGAACTTGAAACAACTCAACAAAACTTACATACCAAAAATGAGAGTTTTTCTACTGCTGTGTGCTCAAACAGAGTAATGGCCTGTTTTTGTGTACTTCAGCCAGCTTATTAATTGAGCACATTAAGGACCTTCACCTTGTGCTCTAGACTGCCATGGAAGCTAGCGACAACTCTTGTCCAAGTGGAATAACATGCTGAGCTAATCTGCTAAGCCATGAGATGTCAGTTTAGCTGATACCTCCAGTTTTCGTTGTCATTTCTATGATGCATCTGCTTGGGGTTGCCTTGAGCAGAAGCAGGTTGAATTCCTCTGCCAGAGCTCCTCACATTTGAACATTTGCGTTTGTTCCTGCCCCAGGAAATATGCCTGTAGCGTTGCATCACCTTGGACTTTTTTCCTCTCAGGTACAAAGTATCCCTGTAAAAGCTTATTTGCTTTCCCTTCCCACCCCTCTCCAAAATATCCACCGCAATTATACAAAGCAAACACACTGCTAGAGAAAAAAATAATGCAGCAAAAATCTTAGGTGAGTGCCTGTCTGGCTGGTGTTGCTGGTGAGGTCAGTGCAAGAAATCCCTAACCTTTGCCTCCTTTTCCTCCACCCATTCCTGTCATGCTCACATTGCTTTTATGGCATTGGCCCTATGAGCAAGGTCAGGGAAAACACCTGCTCTTTCTTAGGAGTGGGGGAGAGAATCCACCTGTGGTGGAGCTGACGCTGCTGTCTGCGCTGAAGGCGCTTTAAAGAGCTTCTGGGTGCTTATTATTCTGGCACACGTCCTTTCCTCCCCACAGTCTGAAAAAGAAAAAATCCCTGTACTGAGGAACTTTAAAGAGGTATCTCATATAGCAAATGGCTCCTGAAGCTTTGCCAGCAGCTGTGCATTGCAACTGTGCTTTTCTTTTTTGCCTTAGGTTCAACTCAGTAGGCTGCAGATCTCAGCTCTACAAAGCAAAGACGGAGGAGTGTTGCTTTGCAAAGCCATTTTTTGTTTCCTTAGATGAATGCTGATTCATAGCTTTCCTGTGTGTGTGTGTCTGTGTGTATATATATATATATATATATGAAGTATATTAACTTAAAGTGAGCCAAATGATTGTGTACACTGCGCTGCTCGAGGAGCAAAGGGCAGGTACCACACATGGCCATGGCCTCAGAAAGCCCCGGGTAGCTCCTGGTTTTGCAACCTCAGCTGGGAGGCTGTTAGCTGTGTGGATGTCAGTTGCGACACGAACCCAGCAAGTACAGATTGTGCTTCCACTGTCCACTTGGCCTTCAGAGGAGGGCACAGTGACATTGGCAAACTTATAGGTTTTTCTTTTTTCCTTTTTTTTTTTTTTTAAGGGATGTTGGGTTGCTTTTAGAACTTGCCAAATAGTTGGTGGGGTTTTTTGGTTGGTTGGTTTGTTTTTAATCCAAAATAACCTCCTGTTAAGAAAAAATGAAAAAAGAAATCTTTGAATCTTGGTTCTATTTTCAGGTATAAAGGGAAATAGTTCTATCTTAAAGAAAAGAGATCAAATTCTAATTCATAGCTTTTATTTTATTTTTTTCCTTAAGTATCTAAGTAACACTGGAGAGTCTCAAAGCAAGCCTTTGAGTGCCAAGTACGTTTTGGTGAAAACACTTGCCAATTTGGACGTAAGATTTTCATTTCATTCTTGCCTCCTAGATGAGGAAGGAACAGAACAAGAGATGATAGCTTAAGACCCACTTGTGTTCTTTAAAGTAAGAAGTCTGAAATTCGTAGATTAATATCTTGATCAAGAATCAATGCTGGAAAGAAGTTTGTGTATATGGTAGTGTCATTAATCATTAATAGATTTTAACTTTCTTGTTTTGATGACTACATTGCATGCTGTAGACTTTCCAGTGGTGGAAACTGTTTAATAGTATCACCTTGAAATACACTATTTGTATCCTGATAACTAGATGCCTTTCTGCTTGACGTCTTATTTCAGTCTTCCTCTCTGCACTTTCTGGAGTCTCTGCTTGTGGCAGAATTCTGTCCTTGAAATTTGTCACAGCACAAATACGTGTTTAATGCCAGGCTTGCGATATAGAAACACATTTATAGTGAAGCCTTGGATAATTTGTAATAGCTGTGAGATGCTCCTACCTTTTATGACCATCAGACAATTTCTTGCTTTCAGACTTTCCCCAAAGTGCCCTTTCAGAGGTTAAGTAAAGCTCTTAAAAAAAAAAAAAAAAAAAAAGAGAGATAGAGAGACTCCAAGGTCTTTTCCCATAAACTCAAGCTTGCTTTTTTTTCTTACCAAAAAGTGTCCTTGAGGTAAACACTGCGTTGGAAGCTGTGTTGCCCCTGCGATAGGATTTCTGTGAGAAGGAGGATTTGACTGAATGAGCATCTCTGGCCTTTCTCCCTTGAAAGCAGTACATGGGTTGGGAGTCCAAAGGCCCTTGGGATTTCACACAGCCACTCGCTGGTGAAACAGAAGTTTGCAGAGCAGCTGCCACGACAGTGTCAGCTCCTTGCATTTCTTCAGCATCGCTGTTTCTGCCCTTTTTTTGCAGGGGAGAACTTTGACCAGAGCCCCTTGAGAAGAACGTTCAAGTCCAAGGTGTTGGCTCACTACCCGCAGAACATCGAGTGGAACCCCTTCGATCAGGATGCCGTCAACATGGTAGGTGGAGAAGTCCTGCGGCCGGGCTGCTTCCCGGACCTTCTGCTCCCATGCGGTTCCGGGGTGGCTTAACCCTGTGCTCGGGGCTTTAACCCCATTGGGATTAAATGCCTGTGCTAAGCGTGCCAGCTGCAACTCCACAGAGGAACAGCCATGGTAAATTTGCAGAAATATTTATGGGTAGAGCAAGGCTTAGGAGCTGATAGACGCTTCTCTCATTAACTCTAACTAAACGTGGTGCGTGATGAGATGAGTCCCAGAGGCTGGGTGAGAAGGAGGAGCCGTCGCCTTGCATACCTGTCTGCAGGTTGGAAGGAGCTTCGCTGAGGAAGCTGGAAGAGACTAATATCCATGAGAAGTTTCTGAGAACCAGAGTGGTTGTTTCTGAGGACCTACGTGTAAAGCAGAGGGGGATCTTTGCCCAAGAGGGAGAACTTGCCTAAACTGTAGTTTTTGTGGGGTTCTTGTTTTTAATAGCCTTTCTGCACCAATTTATGTGTTTTCTCTACATCTCTCCCTGTCAGAGAGAGGGATTGAGATGAGCTCAATGTTTGAGATGAGATGAGCTTCTCATAGTTTGAGAAGTTTGAGATGAGCTTCTTCATATGGCTGAAGTACAGTGAACATGGCAATAAGAAAAAATAGAATTTCTAGAGTGTTATATGTGTGCAGGGAGAATGAAAAGACCAAGAATTCACTGTACATTTTCCGAAACAGATGATGTTGAAGGGTTTTTTCCAAAAAATCACCTTGTTAAGAACATATGCTGACAAGAACAACCAATTAGTGTCATCTGAGATAAGCGTCCCAGGACAGAAAATGCTTTTTGTTTTATATTATGCCATCCTGCATCTGTCATTATGCTTTAAAAGTAAGTAGATAATAATAATAAAGCAGTATTATCAATGCCAGATGTTTTTGAGACTGTGTGTTGAATCTAACTCAAAATGGGACAATTAAGGAACCCTCTCTCCCCAATCTAGTTCAGACTTGCTGCATCTGAGGAGATTTATTTCAAAATAAAACTGGACTGAGCATTTGTGGAAATACTGATTTCAGATGATTCTCTGGCCATGGAATTGCTGTCATGAGCAGAAAGGCAGAGGTGCCGTAATGCGAGTGCTAGTCCCTCTGCTTGCTGGTGATTGGAGATGTTCCCCCCCTGCTTCCAAATGCCGGCTGAGGGAGTCGGTGTGACATTGCAGCAGGTCTCCACGGTGCTTTGGAGGTACAGCAGGCACGAAGGAGTCACAAGATGCTTGATAGACACAGCTGAGGTGGGAATAGCTCCTCTGTGCAGGCTGCTCCTGCCAGCCGGTTAGTGGAGGGGCAGGTTGGTTTGCCCTCCTGCGCGGGTGATGCTGAGAGGAGGAAGAGCCCAAGAGGGTTACGGCAGCGAGCGGCAGAGGCGCCGCGTGCCGCGTCAGTCGACCCCCGCGCTGCCGCTGGAACTGGCTCGTGTTCATGAGGTGTGGTGGTAGCATCATACACAAACGGGATACCGAAAACCAACAGGAGACCTATTAACACGAAATAATTGGGCTGAGTGGCATTCAGATGAAATCATACAGCTGAAGAGCACATACTTCATTTGCAGTGTGTCTGGGAAAAGGTATTTACTAACAGCAGCTGTGCTTAACCGTCTCTTAAATTATCTCTTGGAAAATTATTTTTATTGTTTTGATCCAAAGCATCATTTAGAGTAATACCCACCACCCACAGACTCCCCGGAGGCAATTTTTAGCCTTTCTGATCTCTCCTTGCTGTATTAGTTCTGCCTATGTGTTTTATGTGAGTTTTCCAGAAGTAATTTTCCTTGGAGAAGAAAATGCATAAATCCTGGAAGGTTAACTTGTGAGAATGCTGCCTTTGCTAGATGCCTAAGGAATTTCAATTGCCTTTTGAAGCCATTCTGTCACTTAAATACCCCTGCAGTCCTGAGAAATCGCGCTGCCCACCAGTCATGTTTTATATCCCTTTCAAAGTAGTATAGAGTTCTATTTTATAGGGAAATACTTATTTTTTTTCCCCACTGCTTTCTACGATTATCCTTGCCTAGTGTCATATGCTGTTTTCTGCAGCCATTCTGTGGCAGTCTTATGATTTACCGACCTGGAGCTCTTATTGCAGAGGAAAGTAAAAGTTTTAATAACTCCTCTTTTAGTCCCCTAAAAGCCACAACAATATTTGCAGATACTTCTGGAGACTGAGGAAATATTGCATGATCAGAAAAAAATATTTATCCAAATAAAAGAATTAAGGGATACCCAGTGTAATTGTGGAAAAGCAGGTTTTAATATGGGCTGAAGTATCTCTCTCCACGCTCTTACCTGAGACACATTTTAGCTGTGGAATTCACCAATGCAGCATGTTTGGAACATGAAAAATACACGTGGATTGAAATGGGAAGTAGAGGATCTAATGGAAAGTAGGGGAACCCAGTGATGCTGTGGCTCAGAGGGAACCTCTGGTCGAGGAACATGTGAAACTGGTGGTGGCCCTGCTTCTGTGCAGAGCGAGGGGGCATCTTCTGCTCTGCACCTCTAGAAAGAGGATGCTGAGCAGTCTGTATCTTCTCATCTTGCCTCGTGCAGCTGCTTTGGCTTTGACAACCCCCTGTTGATTATGGGCCTTAATTCAAGTAGAATTCAAGCTGATAGAGATGCTTAAATATTCCCGTGGAAAGCAAAACTGTGTCCTCCAGACGGTCGTCTTGGATTGTTTCCTGTGTTTCTACACACCTGCAATAAAGATGCCTGCCCGACTTCTCACTGGGTTGCACGATGCTAACGCTGACTGGCTAAGTTTTCAGTCCCCCTAATGCATCCCAATCATCTCTTCTCCAACTCTCCCCTGGCATGTACATAGCAAGGCACGGATGAGGTGGAAAGTGATTGATGTCTCAGACGCTACGATGGGAGATTCTGTGCATTAAGTCTCCTGCAAGTTGGAAGCTTTCTGCATTGCTTGAAAGTGAGCATTCTGTCTCCATATGGAGTCTCTGCCTTTCCTCTGACCTGTTCTGGGTCTAATAAGAGCAATCTCTCTGCCAGGCTTGGCAGGAACTGAAAATGCTGTGGCTGGAAGTTAATAGATGGGCACTCCTGTGGATGTGTGTGCAATGACTATACAAAGGAGGAGGGAATGATTTTTTAAGGCTTGGAGGAGATCTGTCTAATGGAGCCTTCTGAAACTGTCTGAACTTCCTTTATACTCCTCTGTTCTTGGTTACTCCAGTGCATATAACTTGCTTATGCAGGTATTTGTCTGTAAAACAAAGAAAATACCATCTCTCACCGATAAGAGCTGCCATTAAAACCCACGATTTCAGACTGATCTGCCTTAATAAGGCACTATTGAAAGGTCACATTCTAGAAATAAACTTTTATTTAATAAGTCTGCCATAAAATGAGGTGGAGAGATAGTTATTGTGCAGAACAAATTTGAATAAAATGTGAAACAAGGATTTTCTGTTTCTGCTTTGTTGCACAATTTCAGCACAGCCTTAACCATGGCATTGCTGTTAATGCCTCCATAATAAAAACTATAAACCTTTTGAGTGAAAATGTGGCTGCTGTTCAAAAATGGCTCAAGCTACAATTTCATGGCTTATGCCAGCAAAGACTGTCAATTGAATTAAATCCTACTAGCTACAGGCCACTTTGTGCCCTGTCCTTTAACTTTTAGAGCAACAGGTAAGAGGAAGCCCAGATAAATACATAGAGCCTGATAGTGTGGTGTAGAGTCTGGGCCACAAAAGGTGAGTGTTTTTGTATGATGCTTAAATAAATCAGAAAAAAGTTTTACGAAGATCCGATGGTAACCTCACAAAGTCATCTCTTAGTAGGAGAGGACTAGCAGGAATAGCAGGAACACTTAGAACTCCCATTTGTTATTTGTTTCCCTTGTCCTTTTTCTCCCTTCCCTTTGCTTCACTTGGATGCTTTAGTGCTCAGATTCTAGACCTACTGATTCAGTCAGAACGTGATGAGTTTCATGCTGACACGTATCCAAACATGTTTTGCGGGATATTAGCTATTTTGTATTAGACAGCTGATAGAATTCCAGAGGAATGTCTGGAAAAATGCCTCAAATGATCCCTAGGGATATGTTTCAGAGAAATGCTTCAATGTTGTAGAATTACTGCAAAATACCTGGCTGACTGGTAAATCAAAAACTAAGCCTATGTGGATTCTAGTCTTTTGCTTGCTGATCTAAGCTATTTTGTAACACTTAAGAAGGAAAGTAAAGGTAATAGCCGCTTGTCAGTTGTTTCATTTTCTTCTAAGAAAATTAGGGATGATTGAGCAGTCATTTCAAGAATTGCACATAATTTGAAGTCGGTGCTATAAGATGCTCCCTTGACACACTGTGTTTAGAGTACAGGAAGCACAGTATGTGCTGCTGAGAGAAGAAGGTGAATATTTTTATATGATGCTTAAATAAATGAAGCAGAGCCGATCTGGTAGTGAAAACAACTTTACAAAGCAATGAACGTAAGTTCACAGGGACTTACTTCCTTGTCATGACACTCTCTTCTTTTAAGTAATGCTCGTTCCAGACTGTTGGTCCTTGGGCTTATTTTCGGGGGGGGAGCTGTGATTAACAGTGTTAAATAACTTGTTGCAGCAGGAAAGAGCGTGTCAGTAGATCAAAACTCTGACAATAAAATCGTGGCTGCGATGATGTCCTCTCTTCTCCTCTTCCCTTAGCTGTGCATGCCCAAAGGGCTGTCCTTCCGCACGCAGGCGGACAACCGGGAGCCGCAGCTGCACTCCTTCCTCATCACGCGGGAGGACGGCTCCCGCACCTACGGCTTCGTGCTCACCTTCTACGAGGAGGTCACGAGCAAGCAGATCTGCACGGCCATGCAGACGCTCTACCAGATGCACAACGCCGAGCAGTACAGCAGCGTCTGCGCCTCCTCCTCGTGCAGCATGGACTCGCTGGCCAGCAGCAGCGACGAGGGCGACGCCACGTCCCTCGCCAAGCTCCAGCGCTACAACTCCTATGACATTAGCAGGGACCTGCTGTACGTATCCAAATGCATCTGCCTCATCACCCCGCTGCCCTTCATGCAGGCCTGCAAGAAGTTCCTGATCCAGCTCTACAAGGCTGTGACCTCCCAGCAGCCGCCGCCTCTGCCCCTGGAGAGCTACATCCACAACATCCTGTACGAGGTGCCCCTGCCGCCGCCGGGCCGGTCGCTCAAGTTCTACGGCGTTTACGAGCCCATCGTTTGCCAGAGGCCCGGACCCAACGAGCTCCCGCTGTCCGACTACCCGCTGCGGGAGGTCTTTGAGCTGCTGGGCTTGGAGAACCTCGTGCAGGTGTTCACGTGCGTTCTCCTGGAGATGCAGATCCTGCTCTACTCCCAAGGTGGGCCCCGCGCCGCGGCTCGCGCTTCTCGCCCCGTCGGGGCAGTGTCTCTGCAGCTGCCCTGGCAGGAGCTTCTGCAGAGCTCCTGGGTGCGTTCAGTGGGTTTGTGAAAGGCAATCATGTAATGGAAGAAATGGGAGAGAAATGAGTCTGTCCTAAGAAAAACAATTGTTTCCTCCAGGCAGTCTAGGTGCCGCTTGTTTAATTATGCATCGTATTTATCATTTGTGGCAGCTAGCAATAGAATTCCCTTAATTATCATCCTTACATTGCCCTCGATCATGCTGCAAGACAGCGTGAAACTAATCCCATCTTCTGCAAGAAATACCAGCATGAAGTAATACATTTTGCAGAAAATGTTCTACTTTCTCTTTCCACTTTGAGCAGCGTTTTGAATTTCAAGGAGAATTTCTTTTTCCTCTGTGCTGGCATGAATTTTGCTTAAAGCAATGACTATTTATTACTGCTTGAAGGCCAGAGTTTTCCGTGCTGGAGCTGAGTGGAGCTGGAGCTGAGTGGAGGTAGATAAGCCGTCCCTCTTAGGCCAACTCTAGGAGGACTAGAACTTGAGTGTTTTTCTATAATAATACAAATTCCCAAAGTTTTGGGAATCCAGCGTTTGCGCTGGGCGCGCTTTGAGGTTTAGCCCTCCTGTTAATTCTTTCTTTCAAGTTGATGGCGATTGCAAATCTGGCCCTTGTGGTATTTAGGAGCGGGAAGGCGCGTGCTGCAGCCGCCGCAATACCGGGTGCCCGAGAGATGGAACAGCAAGTCAGGCTCCTGTTTTGTGTGGACATCCAGGGGATCGCCCAGGTTCTCAGAGCTTCCTCGGAGCCCCACTGGGTGCTATCCTAATTAGAGGGGTTTTGAAATATCTTCTGGGTTGCTGACCTCAAAATTACTAAAGCAAGCCCTGGGTGAAAAAAAAAGGGGGAACTTCCATAAGACTAACATGGAGGATAAAAAGCCGGGAATTGCATGTGTTTTAGTAAACAAAACAGAAGATACAGAATCCCCCAGCTTCTCCAGAGGTCTGGTTCAAACAACGTCTCAGATGTCAGACAGCTCGAGGTGGAGAAGAAAAAGAGGATGGGAAGTCGAGTATGGATGGTAAACCTCAGGCTTGAAAGCGAGTGTTTGCGTTTGTCGTATGAAAAGAGAAATCAAATCAGCAAGCGTGTGTAGTGATGATACCAATGAATAAAAGACCGAGAACGGAAAATGCTGAGGGAGGTGGAAGGAGCCTTGCCCTTCTGCAAGTGCCTGGATTCAAAGCATGGGCTGCTCTTTGTAGAGCGCTCTCCACGCTGCGGGGATTGCCTTTCAAGAACCAGAAATGAGAGGCTTGCTCTGTTCTCAGCTGGAAGCGTGAGCAGAAATCCCGCTGTCGATTGAGCCGTGCTGCTTTTCCACCCCCTTCGGCGGGTGTCTGCGTGTGTGCACACACTTACCTCTTTTCCTGGTTTCTTTTTGCCACCTTTGCCGCTTGACACCGGGGTTCTCCACAAGCAGCAGTGCTGTCACAACGCCTCCCCATCCCCACCAGTCCTTCCCACGCTGTCCTTGGTGGCAGACTCGCTGGAAACTGCAAGTGTTTTGTGTAAGCTGGTAGCATTAGTGAAAAAGTCCTGCTTGTTGGATTATTCTTTAGTGAAATCCTATGCAGACGGAGAGCAACCTTGATAGGCATTACTTTTATAACAGACCTTGAAAATAATACAAAGTATCCACTAAATAATTTTGATTGCACTTTCAAAGTGCTGCCAGATGTTAGTTAAGTAAATGTTGTTTTCTTCTAATTATTGGCTGTAATATAAGAGACTGTTTTCATTTTTATTGTGTATTTAAAAAAAAAAAAAAGAAAATGTGAGAGTGAGGGTTAGCTTCCTCCATCCTCCAAAAATCCAATATGCCTTTTTTTCTTCTCCTTCTATTTAAAAATCTAGAGACATCCTTGACCTGACCTTTACCTCCCTATGTAATTTGAATGCATCTTGATGGAGCATGAGGCAAAACATGCATTTAGATGTATCGGGGAAATACTGTTATTATGTAAATCACATTTAATGCTCCTTCCCAAGGGTGAAAACTGCAGAATGGAGGTCAAGTGCAAAGCTTCAGTATTGGCATATCCTGATAGCCGAGTGCTTGCTTAATTGTGCCCTTCTTTTAAATGTCATTTTTGTGATGCCTGAAAGAGAGAACAAAAAGCTCTTTTTCTACTTAATTTATAACTAGCTAGATACCACTGAAATCTCTTCTTGGAGCTCTGACCAGGTCCACCGGGGCATTTTCTTAATTCCAGATTTTTACAAGGTAAAAGCTGTATGGAGGTTTTTGGCTTGAATATCTCTCACTGCAAGGAATGAATGAGGTCGATCCTGCAGATTTGCCTGTCCTTCCCTTCCTAGTGTGAAGAGGGTGAATAAGCTGTGACTTTTTCGAGTGCGGCGCAGCCTTGCTGTGGCTCAAGCAGAGACTAGAGATGGTCGTGGGCCCACAGGGTGCAGCTTCAGGCAAGCGGCAGTGTTGCATCCAAGTTAGTGTTCACCGAAATGCTGGGATTGCTCCTCAAGGAGTAAGAGCCTTGTACCAAGGCCTGCTTCAGCTCAGTGAACAACGTCAGTCAGAGAGCTGCTAACAACATATATGTGGGGAGGGGAAATAATGATCTTTTTCATAGTTCTCCGAACCCATTTGGAAGGAAGCTTTTCATTCAAGCTTGCCAAAATTGCTTTCTTTTTTAATTTTTTTTTAAAGTGGTCCACAGGTCAGGCCCACTTGGTCCTGCTATTTCCATCACAGCTGCTGCAGCCAACTTCAGTAGTTGCTATGGTTTTTTTTGGCGTTTTGTGGGTGAGCTGCACCCCATCCATCACAGGGGCAGTAAAGGGGTTGCACTGGGCTGTGATTTCACTTAGCAGCTGTGACAGTCACACGTGGAGTTGAAGAGATTAATGCAAGAGAAGGATCAGCTTCATTTTTTTTCCTTCTTCTTCAAGCTGCTCAATTCCCAAACTTTTTGGACTGCAGGCAACTACCTTAATCCTCAATTTGTCACAAGCTTGTGGCTGAAACCTTAAAGCAGAGTCTGCTGCTGCAGAGCTCTCGCTGTGGCTTTGGAAACCACAATTTGGGAACTGCTGGTGGAGATAATTGTGTCCTTCTAGTGCGAAAGCTGCTGTGACCAAAGAATTTCAGAGCAAAGATAGGAAGCAGCTGGATTGCTCGGGAATGGGACAGTGGGCTGTGGCAACACTTGGACGAAACTTGGGAAGTAAGGAGAGGGTAGCTTGGTAACCGTCAGGGATCTGTGCTTGCCCTTGAAATGACAAGACTCAAAAAATAAGTATTAACTTTTACTGGAGACGACGTGGAATGAGTCAAAGTGGGTTTGGGTAGGTAGCTGCAACAGACTGCCGTAAGCGCTGCCGTCGGGCTGCAGAGATGAGGAAGGAAGCCATGCCCAAAACAGAATGTCTTCAGGTCGTTCTTCATGACTTCAGGTCACGGCTTGCTGAGAATACTTCTAACTTAAACTTGGTCATAGTTTAACATGAGACCTCTAAAAATCAAGGAGAGGGAGCAGTTGGGGCCTTCCCTCAGGCCTTCTCTCCCCACAAACATTTATTCAGGGTGCATTTGCATTGCAGCCTCTCAAGACTTCACCTTGGGAAAATTAACGACTCAATGCTCACATTCCGATGCATTCCTGTGCCTTTCAGAGGGAGGGCGTAGGGATCACAGCAGAGCAGAAGCAGCCGGTGCAGAGAGTCGTGCTCGCTGCGGCTGGACAGGCCGCGCAGGCTTGCGCTGCGTCTCCTTTACACGCCAGAGCTGCTGCTGTAGTTTCATTACAGTTTACTCAATCCCTAGAAATTAATACTTTTCCAAGAGCTTTTTGTTTTATCGAGAGCACAGATTTCCCGTGTGGCTGGAGGGATGTAATAACACGGCGAGTGTCCGGGCTCCCGGCAGGTCCCGAGTTAATAACGTTGCGCGGCAGCCGCTGCAGTTTCCCAAGGATCGGGAGCAAAACGCTCCTGGCGAGATGTCTGCTGGAGGGAGATGAATTAAACTGTGGGCTCTGCGGAAACCTCCTCAATCCGTCTTGTGTGTCGGCCTTTCCAGGGATTTAAACATGAGAGGGGACATGAGGATGAGCCAAAGATAAACTTCTTACAGCTTAGGCGGTTTCTACTCATTAAAATGTTGAGCGTTTCCCAAGCTGTTTTTCAAAGGGCTTGAGTAATTGCGCCTCAAAGATTGGAATATCCTTTGCATTATTTTTAAGCTTAGGAATTATAATAACAATGACTCTGCATATATAGTTTTGGCCTAGAAAAAGTTGGTGTATGAAAGATCTTACTTTTGCAGTGTCTTGAAGGGGAAGGTTTGGGGGATTTTTTTTTCTTATATATATATATATGCTATGTTTGTATGTTAGAGCGTTTTTACACCAAACAGCTATGTAGAATATCTGTATTCTCCACCGCTCATTATTTAAGTAGCTGCAGTCCAAACATGTATTTATAAGAATGTATTAGAACATACTGCAGAACTAAGACTGGGCAAGCTCTGTGGGGACCAAATGCTGGTATGCAGTGATGGGGATTAGTGTTTGAAGCCCCAGTGGTGCCATGGCCACAGGGGACTGCAGTGCTTGCTCTTGGAAAGGAGACAAGGAATTAGACAGGGAAATTGAAGAACCAAATATCATCTTGGCTTTCAACTTAAGCGAAAAAGCAAAGTCAGTTTTCTTTTTAATATTTATTTTGTTAGATGAGTCAATATGGCCTGGAAAATAGAGCTTTTTAAAGCAGTTGAGAATTCCTGCTTGTCTCAATATTGAGGTGCAGAGGGAGGTTGGCAATGCTTTTGTAATGCCACATGCACAGACACACGCTCCATCACCTCTTCTTTTTACTGTATGTTATGATTTTTCCATTATAAAAAACATCTTTATCTTTTGAGAGCAGGAAGACTAAGCCTTTGCATTCCCAAGCGTGGCAAATGCCACGGTAATCAAAAGTGGTTGCAAACAAAGTCACTGCCTGATCATGGTGCGTTTATTTCAGGAAGGAAGTCTGGTGGTGTGGGGCTTCTTCCCTTTGTTTTTTTTCTTTTTTCCCCTGGAATAACGACGGGAACAGGAGCTGCTTTGGTGCCTGGTTTGCAGCGAGGAGGGAGGCTGTGCCCTTCCCACAGACTTTTGCCCGTCTCTCAGAGGCTTAACCATGTCAGTAATGGGAGCTAATTCGAGTTTTCCTGTGAATTTGTTCTTAGGGTGGCTCTTGCTTGTAAATTATGAACCGCTGGTGGCAGGTTGTGACACAGATAAATCATATAAATGGAAATTTACAGAAGTGGAGGTGATTTTTTTTTTCCATTAAGCATTTGCCAAGGAGGGGGGAAATGGCAAGAAATGGCTTCAGCAAATATTGGCCCCAGGGCAGAGCTCACCCCCAGGTTGAGAAGCTAATTCCTAGGTTGGGCAATTAGACTCATGCTTGTCTTGATCATGCCGTTAGCTTAAAAAAAAAGTATATTCAAATTTACATAAATTGCTGTTCTGCTTCCATCTAGCAGTGCATGTGCTGTGTCCCGTCTCCTTCCACGGCAGCGTGTGGCTCGCAGCTCCCCAAAAAGCAGTTCTGGAGCGAGCGGATTCCTACAGGGAATGAGCGTGTCCTGGAGCAAACGCAGGTTTTCTTTGAACATCTCCATCCTGGTTGGTGGAAATCACCTGGTTGGACTTGTTGGTCACCCCAGCTGCCCGGCTGCAAGGCAGATACAAAAGGCCCAGGGAGGTTTCCACAGCCTTTTGAAGTCTGTAAGAGACATGTGCGTTGCTCCTGTGAATCTGCTGATATCTGATTTTTCAAACTTCCCTTTCATATAGAATTTGTGTCTTGGAAGTCAATTTCAGATTGCCTTTTTGGTGTGTGAGGTGTCACAGTTGCCTGTCAGTGGGTGCTAAGCCATGAGATGGGGCTGCTAATTGCTGGGCTGGTTGTGCACCCTCTTAATCATGCTCTGAGTACAAAGCAAAACACAAGTTTTTGTTTTCCAGTTTTCCCAAAATACCTAGCTTAACAAATCCATATCATGGTAGAGAAATGAGCTGTTGAGCAGCACTCAGCCTACATATTTTTATAGTATTTTGACTCAAAATGTAGCACATGGAAAGGCTTCCAGTTACGGGAATGTTTTAATGATGGTTGAGGTGGTTCCCTGTGAAAAAGTAGCTCTTGTTTATTAGGGTCCATTGATTCTGTTTGTTTCTATTTTAAACTATTATTTAGAGGCACTATCTGTGTACGTGCTGTAGGCATCATCTTCCAGGACACATCTTTGAGCATGGGGTTTTACAAAGTTGCTGCTATCATTTATACATGTTCAAGATCAATGGGGAAAATTAAGTGGTGTCTGGGTAACCCATCTTTTCAAGTACTTGCAAGTACTTGCAAATTGCTTTTAAAAGAGAAAGAAAGAGGAAAATGGGATTACTTTTAAAGCATTTACTGTGTTTGGAAGATCCAGGTTCAGACACCTGCTGTGCTGTACAACACTGCCAGAACAGATGGGAAAACTGCCAGATTGATCTTTAATCAGAAAGACCAATGCGTTGAAATGAGAGTGTCCTGGTTGCGGCAAAATCAAGGTTTTCTGTTTGAATGAGTGATTGTGTGCTCTTTTCTACACATGCAATGTACTCTAAAAACCCTGTAGTTAGCTGAGAAGGTCCCAGGTGAAACTTCTGTTTGACTGTTACATAAGTGATACGTTCATTTAAACAAATATTTGAACATCTGGGGAGAAGTTGCACTCAAACTAGGCAGGTTGGCTGTCATGGGCAGATGTAGCATGGATATTTTCTTTCTCCTCTCAAAAGATCTTTATTTGTTTACTGTGGTATGGGAAGGATTTGGAGATACCAGACTTCTCTGTGTAAGAAAAGCAGTTTTTCCTTTGGGTTTCATGAATTACTTAACATCTTGGAGCTTCTGTTTCTGATCTGTAAAAGGAAAGGAGAGGTGGTTATTGTTATTATTGATATGGCCTTGGTCTGACGTGTTTGGACTGCAAGCTCTTCGGCAGAGCAGCATTTCTGCATGCACAGTGTCTGATACCACACTGTCCATTACTGTATTACATTGAATCGACATCGAAGGACCAAACATTTGCCAAGCACTGTCCCCATTCAGAAAAGCATTTATAGTGAGTTTGAGGTTCAAA